CTTTTTCCTACTAAAGACATTTTCGATAGGTTAGTAGGGATCTATAGAGCCGTTACGGTAGCTTTATAGTAGCGCTAGACTCGAATCGAGAGCTTATTTCGTACTTAAGACGGCTGTTCCCTAGTAGGGATAAGAGGCAATATTCTATAAGGGTGTTATAAACAGGGGGTCTTAATACTAAGTAGTAATTCTTAGATATATACGATATTACTTAGGGAGCGAAAGGGAATAGGTAACGAGGACATTACCCTTTTATAGGATTGCGCCCGGTGCTAGTTAGGCTCGGCGGTACCGTAGAGGTACCGTAGAGTTATCCTTTAGCCGTCGCATCCGTATAGGGAAATCCTACTAAGGGTGTAATTCCCTTATTCTTTCTAAGAGGGATTCCCTAGGTAAGGGTTTAAAGGGCGGTGTCCCGCTCCTTTAGGGTCCCCTTATATAAACCTTTAGTTAAGAGTAATTATATTATTTAAGTAGCGGTTAAGCTCCTAAACCTAAAGAGTAGCTATATTATCCTTAACATCCCTATAGTAGTTAGCTAGGATGCTAATAGTCCCCTTAATACGAGGGGCTCTCTTAGAGGGTTTAGAACCTCTATAGCGACGGTCCTTTAATATACCGTCGTTATTATTTAATCCGCTTAAATTAGAGCTATCTTTAGGGAATCCCGAAGCGGTTAGTAGTACTTAACTACCCCTATTATCTCTATTAGCTTAGATAGTAGCGGGAGGGTTATTAAGACGGAACCGTACTAACTCTAAGTCGCTTAGTCCGCGTAGGATAGTAGTACCCTAGTTAAGTATATCGTATTCGCGTAGTCGCTCGTTTTCGGCTTTAAGTTCTTAAAGCCTAGCGGCGACGGCTCTTAAGTAGGTCCTAAAGGTAGCGTCTTCTATATCTAAGGCCTCTAGTATAGCCTTAAGTTATCCTCCCTAAGGAGGGTTTTAGATATAAGAGTATAACTAAAGGTTATCGATTATATCGGCTAAGAAGTAGAAGTCGTACGACTCGCGCTTAAGCGAGCGTCGCGTAGGCTTCGAGGGTCCTACAACGATAARCGGAGGGGCTTACTCGGCCTAAGAGGTATCTTAAGGGCGAGGAGAGCCTTCCTCGTCTTTTACCTTAAATAGGTTAGTTATTACTATAATAACTTAGTCGGTTAAAGGTAGATAGTATTATAAAGGTAGGATAGTATAGTGCTTTAAGAGAGAAAGGTTATAACTCTTCCTTTTAAATTAAAGCATCCTACTTCGTTTAAGTATAGAGTCTTTCTTAAGCGCTATAGCGGCGAATTACTAAGATACCTTTAAGTAGGGCGGAAGGAAATAGGTTACTATACGTAATATATTAAGTACCTATTATAGTTATCTAAGATATAGTATATTATATTTCTAGGATACTTAGCTAAGCTAAGGCGATTAGCGCTAGCTTAGCTATAGTAGTATATACTTAAAAGGGATTCTTACGGGATATAGCGTATCTAAGCGCTATATCGGCGACTTTCTTAGTATAGCTCTTACTCGATAAGGTAGAGTAAGCTACTACGGCTCCGAGGACGGTTATAAAGCGCTTTTAAGGGCTCTAGCTTAGGTATACGATCTAAATTAGAGTTTTTACCTAGCTACGGAAGTATATAGCGTAACGCTAGCGTTAAGCTAACTCCTAGGGTAGTCTAGTAGAAGAGTTCTCGTCGCTTTAATCTAAGGGCTATATTAATATCTAAGATATATATTCTTAAGCTAGTAGGCTTCTTTCTAAATCGTCTTATATAAGGTAACGGGACGAACTAGCTAGCCTACTAGCCCTAAGTAGGCGAGGTAGACTATAGATCTAGCTAAGGAGCTAGACTTAAGCTCTTAGCTACTAGATATTCTAAAATAGATAAACTCTAATTAAATCTACTTAAGGGAAAATTCCTCGGCTATATAGTCCTACCTAAGTTACGTAGCTACTTAAGCCTTAGGCATACATGCTCAGTTCTTAAGTAGAGACTTTAAGAACAACAGTTGTCCACTGTGGGCAAGCCCCGTCGCTCTAGCTCTCGGCCCTCGCATCCGATCACGTYTGAAGAGATACTGCTAAGTTAATTCCATGGCATAAAACCGCCCTAGGTGATACAGCAGAAATCACGCGAGAATTCCCAACCTTTCGCACGTAAAAATTTATGGGGCAAGCAGGTCGTGCCTGCCTTGAGAATAACGTTATGACATCACGCGGTCCGGATAGCAGCTTCGTCTTTTGCTCAGAAACCTAATCCTCACTCACTGGACCCTCTCGTTCTTGATCCTAGCACCTCATAAATTCACTCCAATTGACTCTTGAAACCCGGCCGCTGCAAATGGTCGTTGCGAAAAGACCTGTCACCGAAATTGCATAGCGGAACTCTTCAACACCCCGGTAACATTTGACACCCACAAGGCGCGCGCGTGGGTCTTGCACGGATAGGCGAGGGGCCCAGTCAGTGACCACACACGGCGGGCGCTCAAGCACCACTACTTGCGTTCCCTCAGCGCCTGTACCACCGACCAATCTGTCAGTCGCCCAGAAGGATAGCGAGCCAGCGCGCTACGATTGACTGGAAACCTCCGCCGGTCTGACCCCGGCCATCCCTACATTCCACGATTTCGCATAAAGMACACCTGCCTGCAGTCCGGACAGAGTTCTCGCGCGCTAAACTCACTCACTCTGTCTGATTAAGCGCCGAAACTCTTTCCTCAGCCCGTCCCGTTGCTCACCTCATCTATTGACAAGACAGCTGCAACCACTGGAGGAACTTTCCTCCAGCCAGGACGACGCCCGCTAGACCGTGTTGTTCGCGCGGGCCATGCTTGCTGTCGGCATCGGCGCGAAATAGTCTATTCCCTGCCGACTAGCGTGGCGATTGCCACTCCAAGTGGAAAATGATTGAGACCACTTTCATCTCAATCCACGGTAAGCTAGCTCACCCTTGCTTGGGGTTTGAAGACGTCGCTCACAGGTGGCGATAGACCTCACCGAGGATGCCACGATCCTTTACTCTTCGGACTCTGTAGTCGACATCTTGGGCTACACCCCAGACGATATTGTCAATCGCTCGGCATGGGACTTCTTCTCTTTGGACGACCTTCCCTCTGCTCGGCAGTTCCACCAAAAGCGAGTTGCGAACGACAAAGCCGCCGTGCTGGGCTATTGTCGCATCAAGAACAAGGATGATCAATGGGTCACCTGCGAATGCTGTTTCTCGATCGTGTACGATGTCATGGTCGTCTGCACGAGTATCTATCGAAGAGATGCATCAAGCGCAAGTTAGTTTTCCATACCATGCGCGCACCATCGACGTCCACTGCTAACATGACATGAAGAGCGTGCTACCGAAGCGCCCCTCGTGCGCCGAATGTTCTCATCGTCTCCCAAGGATCCGAGATATCACATGCTGTCTCACCTATCTGCCAAATTCGCACCTTCAATCCCCATGAAGGCTGTTGCGCACGAACCGAGGGCGGCACTATTCCTCAACCGCTTCACCCGTACGTTGACCATCATGTATGCAACCAGCGGCCTCCAGGACGTGATCGGCATACCTGCAGAAACCATGCGTGGTCGGAGCTTTTACTACTGCATCGCTCAAAACTGCCTTCRAGATGCGGTCAAATGCCTGGAAAATGCAAAGGGCAATGACTCCGTGGCGTACCTTCGCTTCTGGTTCAGGGATCCACGCATAGACGATGAGCCAACTGGCAGTGATGACAGCGACGAGGAAATGACGACAGATACGAGCGAAGGTGGTGTTGGTTTACAGAGCGAGCACGACTCACCCCTCAGTGAGCGGGACATCATGGACGTCGATATGGACGATATGAAGCACACATCTCGACACTCGTCAGGCGTCAGTAGTACGCGCAGGCAAGACACACATGAAGCCATATTTGGGGAGGCGCGAGTCGCCGAATCTTCGGCTGCGTCATCGCCTGATCGCGAGGAGATTGTCCGCGACCCCATCGAGCTCGAGGCCGTGGTCTCTTGCACCTCGGATGGTCTTGTCGTATGTCTGCGGAGAGCTCGACCGATGATCCCTCATCCCACGCACAGTCGCCCTGCGCGGCCAATGTACGAGAATGGTCTGTTCGCCGCTCCTTGGGCCCTGGAACCCGTCCTACCTCCCTTGGAAACTCGAACCAGTTGTGGCATCGGCTCTTCTTTTGCTCCCGCTCTGGGCCCCCAAGGTCATCGACGTACAAGCCACAATGTACCCGCCGAGTCGGACTTCATGAACGCCATTCGGGAACAAGCCGTGTTCGCATGGGCTCTGACTGGCATCAACGGTATGTTGGCCGCGTATGGAGAAGGCAAACCAGCGGGAGAGTCGACGCCTGATGGCGGATTCCCCGTCTGGGCAAACGATCCACGCAGCCAAGGTGATGACAGCGGGAGCAATGGCTATAGCAGCGGGCAGGAATTCTTCGGATCCGCGCACAAAAGTCCGCGAGATGTTCGACCAAGCGCTCACATCTTTGGTGATCCTGGACTTGGCAGAAACAGCAGTAACGGCCGAGGCATTGGCAGTGGTAGCAACAGCACGGGAGGCACGCCTTACTCCGGGACGTAACCAGACGCTCTAATCCGATACCTCCAGCCACTACCACACAACTCTCCAGATGGGCGAACATGCTCATTGTCGAGCAGTTCGCTGAGAGACGGAGCGATGTGTGGATCGTGAAGTTTGATTGAGGAAGAGCGCGATGTGTGGTTTTCTTAGCATTTTTAGCGAGCATTTCAGGGACATACCCTTATGCAAGATCCATGGCTGGGCGTTTGATATGTATTTGACAGGTTCATGATATCAATCTCCAATCACTTTTGTCGCAAGACTCCTCTGTCAAGCCTTGACGCCGTCTGCGACCTGCTGTGTGTTGTTTTCTGTCACTCGAGCATCCTCTGCCGCTTCTAACTTCTTCATTTCCTCTGCTCGCACTCTCCGCGCCTCTCTCCATTCAGGTCCGCGTCTTTCAAGTAGCCACAGTATCGGGCTGAAAAGCAGCACTACTCCTGCAACGAACGTAAAGGCCCATCCGCGTCCCATGGCATCAATCATATAGATGATGACTCCGGTGGCTCCGGCACCCAATAGACACCTGATCAAGTTGTTGGCCGCAGTTGCGGTTGATGGCGAAAGCGGATAAAGATCCACTACCATGACTGAGAGGCAATTGAAGGCACTCGTCATACAGAATCCCGTGATAAACATTAGAATCAAGGGCACTGCGAGATTTGTCTCCACGTACATTACCCAACCGTAGCAGAGAATTGCTGCATCACCGACCATGATACAGGGCAATGCGATTTCTATTCTGCAGCGCTCGAGTGGGAACGTGCGGAGGTCGTTGGCTTTGCCTTTGATGATTTCGTATCCTATTCTTTTGGCCGTGCGGCGAAAATTCCAATCTGCGTAAGGTTAGCATGTTTACTTGCCTTTGCGTTACTCGCAAGTAAAGGGGAGGTATCGTGTCCTGATACGCGCACTCACCCATCAGGACGCCAGATACGCCTGTCGCGAGGAATGCTCCGAAACCCATTGGAAGGAAGCAGAGGCCGATCTGGAGAGCATCGAAGCCATAGATCTGCTCAAGCAGTGTTGGAGCCGAAGCCATAACATCATAGAATGAGCAGTAGATGATTGCGTTGAAGAATAGGAGTAGACCGACGTCCTTCTCCAGGACTACGGCCAATGTGTGCAGAGGGTTGGGTATTTTGATCTTGCGCTGCTTTCTCATCTGCTGCTGTACGCTCTTAACGGAGGCATGCGACTCTGTTCGGTGCACAGAGGACGATGCGTTTCTTTGTCGGCGGACTTGAAGGTAGTTCAGCAGACTCCTGTATGGAGTTTATTTGTCAGCTGTGTATGGATGAAGAGGTATGACGTTCAGCATGGGTGTAGCTTCGTAGCAAGATTTAAGCAAGCACAAGATATCCCAGACCCTACTCACATATTCCATCCCTGAGGAGGGAGTGATCCATTGCCAACGACGTTTCGGCCTGTTTCGGGAAACGTCAACACGAATGGAATCATGACTGCTCCTGACAAGATCACTAGAAACCAGAAGATCCTAGAATGGTCAACCATGTTTTGCTGAAGCCATTTCACATCGGACGTACCATCGCCAGCCCAAGAATTGGGAGAAGATACCGCCCAAAACAGGTGCTATCGCTGGTGCAATCATGGGACCGGCAGTAGCCCACCCCATCCATACGCCTCGCTCTGCACTTGTTGCAATATCAGCAACGACTCCACTCCCTAAAGCGATTGTGCTGGAGGATCCAGTAGATTGCAAACATCGAAGAATCAGCAAACCAGCGAATGTATCGACCCTAGCAATACCTATGCAGGCTGCGATGTATATGGCAAAGCCAATCAGATATGCTGGTCGTCTGCCTGCCATGTCTGCTAAATCACCAAATATAGTAGGTGCCAACCCCTGGAAAATCATGTAAGATGTAAGAGTGAGGTTCATTATGCTTTCTGATACGCCAAAGTCTGCTGATAATTCGTTCAGGGCGGGAAAGTAGATGTTGGCTAGCAGTCTGTTAACGACAACGACGACGGACTATCAAAGCACAGCACCTACCTGAAAGTGGCGAGAAGAAGCCAGCCATGGCGACCATCAGAACGATCAATCGTTTCTGTGGTGTGGAAAAGACGGACCATGGCTCTGAATTTGTCGTGCTGGGCTCTACGGCTTCAAGGTCTTGAAAATCGTGTRGATCWYGRTGGTSGYCG